CAGTCTCGGCCCAACACAACACACAATCCAAAAACTGCTAACCGACTTTACCGAGTCAAGGTTGATACTATCCCTGATTCCAAATCCAACAACCATTTGGGGCCTAGAATCAACTTTTCATATCCAAATCCGGTGCGCGCTCCCTCTAGGTCGAATTAGCCCTGGGCTTGTAAACCTAGTTTCCTTTATATAACCCTTTCTTACAACCCTTTCCAAACACATTCCTTAAAATAATTTCAACCTTGTTTTTGGCCAAACCATGCTTATGCCATGAAGTGAATTCGTACATTATTCAAGAATAACCGAACATGATTCATACTTTCTAAACTCAAATAAGCATGATTTGCATCAATGGAATCACATCATCACATTGTAGCAAATAATCTCAGAATAGCAATCTCACATGTATATCATGTTTTTAACAATATTAACATTTCAAATATACCTTCAACATGCATAACACATAGCATTTTCATCAAGAACATGTACATCACTTTAACTTCTAATCAACATCATTTAAAACAAATACGGGATGAAATCAAGTAGGGAAAACTTAAATAGAGGCAAAACGTAATGCGTTAAACACCCCTACCTCAAAATGTATCTAAAAGGGATCCCCGGCAGGAAAGTCAACGCCGGTCAACTCTACTCGACACCAGGCGAATGGAAAACTGTTCGGTGGCAATGTAGCCAACGACGAGGTGAACAAACTGTCCCAAAGGCGCAACTCCAAAATCTGGCTCGAAATGACTCAAAACCCCCTTCGAAGTCTTATATCTAAAATTTCAAAAATTAGTAAAATATTAATTGCTTCTCTAAAAATTAATTCCTTGGACTATGTGGTAGATAATGATGAGGGGAACATTTTCCATCAAGGAACCGAGCCTGGAAACCATCCCGATCAGCCGAAAAATGAAGGAGAAATTTTGAACCTTAAAAGAAAAGAAAAATGTAGGAGAGAGAGGGAAAGAGCTGTGCTTGTGTGATCAAGAATGAAGAAGAAGTAAAGGCTTTGCCCCCTCTCCCCTCTCTTTTTGGTTAATGGATGGTTATGTGGGTCCCATATGCCAAAATATCCCTTTTGTCATATTATATACTTATATATATACACCACACAATTAAATTTAAACATTTAGCCACACAAATATGTACTAAACAAATACAATGAAATGTAACAACCCCGAAAAATAATCCCGTGGATGACAAATCCGATTGCGAGTTCCGCCTGGGACCTCTCGGCCCGAAAAATTGAAAAATGTTGAAATGGATAACAATGCATTTCTATGATCCCTGAACTCGAAGAAATGCCCCAACCAACCTTTGGAACTCACCCGGCACATCCCACGGTGTCCCGACATGCAAAACGAGGCAAAAACAAAATAATCCTGAAAAATAAAAAATTCCCCAAAAAATGAAAAATAAGAAAAATGAGAAACATTACAATTTAATCAAATCATCATAGCTCATGTTATATTGTATGAAATTATGTTTACTAATATTAGCTTGCTTTATTCCCCATATTTGTTAAAGTTCAAAATCTCCCCACTGAAATACCAAAACCAGCATATCAAACAATCCCAAGAACAAATAGTGGATTTGAAAAGTCTCAAGTAGGCATATTGAGGGGTGGACATAGACAGGAGTGTCGAGCCACGTACATCTTATGTTTGATCAAATCATCATGCAGCTTGATTACCTACCTATGGAATATTACCTTGCTTGATTCTTTATAGAATTTTTTTCAGTCTAACCACTAAAATACCAAAACCAGTATATTAAGCAATCCCAATAACAAATACCCTTTGCTCTAAACTTTTTGAGAGTCATGTATAAAAATCCATTAAACAAACCAATGTCAGAATAAAAACAACAGTTAATCAAACTCAAATTCTGTCTCCAACATGCTATGTATTTTCCATCATTGACTTCATAATATAATTGTTGATGCAAGATTTTATGGCAACCCTGTAATGTTTTCATTTTTCATCATTTTTCAATTTCTGGAATTTCCTGTTTTTGGCAAGGGTGTTTTCGTCTTTTCAAGTTTTGCATACCGGACACCGTGGGGTGTACCGAGTGTGTCAGAGAGTTGGTTGGGGCATTCCATTGAGTTAAGGACTCTTGAAAATGTAATTGCTGTCATTTCAGCATTTTTTCATTTTTTGGGCCGGAAAGTCCCGTGTGGAACCCGCCACCAGCATAGTCGTGTACGGGAGTTTTGGTGGGGTTCATTTACATTTTATTCTCTTTATTTTAATGTGTTTCATATGGTTTTATTATGGTGGGTATGTGTATATAATTGTGTGTGTGGTAGAAAATTCAAAGGAAAAAGAAAAGTCAAAAGTGGGTTTTGTGGTGGGACCCACTTTTCACTTATTCATTAGTGGCCAAGAGACCACATTTGGCCTCCCATTTCTCTCTCCCCGGCTGAACTTCTCTCTCCTTCTCTTCTCTTCATTTTTCTTTTCTTTTTGTATCAAAACTTCTATCTTTGATTAATCTCCAATCATTTTGAATTTTTGGGTGTTGTTTGCGGTAAATCGAAGAGCTCAGCGAGATCTTTAAGTTGATATAAGCAATTCAGCTTTGGTGCATCCTAGGATTTTTTAAATCTAGGGTTCAAATCGGGGGTTTTAATCATTTTGGAGGTAGGGGTTTTTAATTCATAGCCTCTTGGATTTTTGTGAATTATCCTTGTATAAATTGTAGTTTAGCATGCCTAATTTGTTCAAATTCTTGCAAAATTATTTAAATGTAGTGTATGGGATGTTTTATTGTATGTGGATGTGGATTGATGTTTTGTTATTCAAGCATGCTTATATGGGTTAGAATTCATGATTTCTATGTTTGCCATGCTAAATTTTTATTAAATGAAGGCATGTTGTGTTTTATAGAAATTCTTGTAAAGTTTACTAAAGGATGTAGTTGAAGTAATTGTAAAATGATACATTATGGCATGAAACATCCATGCATTTCATTGGGAAGAAATGGTAATGATGTTTTGAATGAAATGAAATGGAGCTTTTTGGGAAAAGTTTCGAAAAGTTTTATGAAAAACCCGGTCGCCTATGGGTTACCAAAGGACCGTGGTGTTAGTGAAGACTAGAGGGGACTAGTGTAATACCCCTAATTTTAAAAGGATAGTCTCGGCATTTTAATTATTGTTCTGTGTCATTAATTGAGTGTTTGTTTAATTAATTAATTATTTAATTGGTTTGATTTAACTATTTAATTGTTTTAATTATTTAATGTGTTTGATTTAACTGTTTAATTGTTTTAATTATTTTTTTGGTTTGGTTTAACTGTTTAATTATTTTAATTATTTAATTGGGTTTGAGTTAACTATTTAATTGTTTTATTTATTTAATTAGGTTTTATTTAGGGATTTGTATTTGTCTTTTAAGTGATCACATTGGGGGTTTTAGCCAACTTTTAATTAGCTTGGGATTAGGATTAGGGTTTTCAATGAGGCCTATAAATATATGTATTAAGGTTTTGCCTAGGGTTTTAGAAATAAGCACAGCTTAACTCAGTTTTAGAGGTTTTGCAAGGTCACAACCACAGTTTGTCAAAGTTTTGCCTCACAGCCAATTTCAATAGCTTTAATTCATCCAAATATACTTGCTAGCACATAGATAGTTCATAGAATAGCTAGCCTTAAACATTTTGCACTTGAATCACAATTTATGCAGAAAAACAGGCTTATCAACTGATCTAAGAGCTCAAAATTCATTTAAGCATATTTCAGTTCAAAGTAAACTATTGAGCAAGTGTAAATTGCATAGTTGTACCTGTGACAACCCTCAGAAATGACCATAGCAACTTGGAACTCAGATTCACTACTCAATCCAGCCCTTTCTTCAGCAATTTGAATAGCAGCAGCATCTCAGCACATTGATCACACACAAGGCTTGAGTCAGTGGGTTTTTTTTAGCATAAATCATCATCACAAATCGTAGGAGAACTTTGTTCAATGAAAAGGAGCTCGAGAGTCTATTCTGCAGCTTGCTTTTAATCTTTATAAAAGGCAATTAACCCTAAAAGACACATATAGTAGCATATATATATATTTCAGTGAAAATGCTAGACTACACCTCTCTTAATTCAATGTTGTCACCTTTCAACCAATGATTACATAAGAATAATTCTAACATTCCCTTAATGAAAAGACAATGTTGCCCTTAATATCTCACCAAATAGTGACACCTCATGTATCGGTGAGAATAGTCTATACAAGTGAGGACACATTGACATTTGCCTTTGCTTAGCCACTAAGATCTGCAACACCATTGGAGGACACTATATACCTGGACCACAGCCACGTGCCACACTCCTGAAAATACTTGAAAAGTTATACAAACAAGCCTTATACATGCTGTAAATTACATTCAGCAAAATCCTGTTGTTGAAGCTGTATTAGACATAATGTAGGCTCACCACAGTAGTTCAGTGCAATGCAACTATCTAGCTATACAAGTATCCATAGAATACATCAGGGAAAATACAAAAATACCCCTAAAAGCTCTTGTGACAAGTTCCTTATATACTGATCCTGACTAAAACCATTCAATTTGGCTGAAACAAGTGTACCAGCTGTGATGAATTAAATCATGCCAATGTAAAAAGACTGTCACTGCAATGTAAATGTCAATGCTGCCCAAGTGATATATGTTAACCCACAATACAGGTAGAATATGCACTAAAGCACACAAAACCAAAGTTTTGACATTAAACAAGCAAATAGGACTTAGAGGATCTTAGGACCAACAATCTCCCCCTTTTGCCTTTAATGACAAAAGCTTTGATATGAAATAAGGCCTTAAGTATAGTGATCCAGCTAACAGAAGGAGAATAACCCAACACTTAGCAAATGATAAGAATATCATGTGATACTATCCTTATTTCAGTCCTTTCTCCCCCTTTTTGACATTAAAGGTCAAAAGGGAGCAGGACCAACAATAGTAAGGTCAAAGAGATGAGGGAACAACCCTTAGAAGATCTCAAAGGGTTGAAAATCTGTGAGGAAGAAGAGGCTTAGTCATGATGTCTGCAATTTGATCTACTGTTGGTAGATAAGTAATATCAAGAAGCCCTTTTTGAACCTTGTCTCTGAGAAAATGATACCTGATATCTATATACTTGCTTTTCCAATGCAATGTAGGATTTTTACTAATGGCAATAGCACTTTGATTGTCACAAAAGAGCTTGGGAAGCATGGAGAAGTGAAGGCCAAGATCTGTCAGAGTAGACTGCATCCAAAGTAATTGTGAACCAGCTTGAGAGGCAACAATATACTCAGCTTCTGAGGTGGAGAGAGAGACTGTGTTTTGTTTTTTGCTAAGCCAAGAAACTACATTAGAGCCAAGAATATAACAACAGCCAGAAGTACTTTTTCTGTCAGGTAATGATCTACCCCAATCAGCATCTGAAAATGCAGCTATAGTCATTGTTGGAGAAAAAAAAATGTAATGTAGACCATAAAAGATTGTGCCCTTAACATATCTGAGAATGCGTTTGGCAGCCTGGAGATGAGACATTTTAGGATTACTTTGAAATCTGGCTACCAATCCTACAAAGTACATGATATCAGGTTTGGAAGCTGTAAGATAGAGTAGACTGCCAATGATAAATCTATAAAGTGTGGATGGAACTGCTTCTGAGGTACAATCAAGTGACAGTTTAGTATTTGGACACAATGGTGTTGAAACAGCCTTGCTATCATTCATGTTGAACTTCTTGAGTAATTCTGAGGCATATTTCTGTTGTGAAATAAAAATTCCTTTGGATGTTTGAGCAATTTGAAGTCCTAAGAAATACCTGAGAGTGCCCAAGAGTGACATTTCAAACCTTATTTTCATGAGATTGGCAAACTCTGATGCTAATGAAGTGTTGGAACCACAAAACATGATGTCATCTACATAGATTTGAAGAATTAGAAACTGGTCTTGATGAATCTTGACATACAAAGTGCTGTCAACTTTGACTCTATGAAAACCTTGTTCAATTAAGAACTGATGTAAGTTTTCATACCAGGCCCTGGGAGCTTGCTTAAGACCATACAAGGCTTTGCTTAGTTTGAATACATGAGAGGGATATTCAGAATCTTCAAAACCTTCAGGCTACTTTAGATAAACTTCCTCACTTAGGTCTCCATTTAGAAAAGCAGATTTGACATCCATTTGGTACACCTTGACTAGTTTGTGACATGCAAAGGACATCAGCATTCTTATGGACTCCATTCTAGCCACAGGAGCAAAAGTTTCATCATAGTCAATTCCAGCTTGTTATGAATAGCCTTTACACACCAACCTTGCTTTATTCCTAATCACAGCTCCTTTTTCATTCATCTTATTTCTGTAAATCCATTTAGAGCCAATAACATTTTTGTTTGTAGGTCTAGGTACCAGTGTCCAAGTATCATTCTTATTAATTTGATTCAGCTCTTCTTGTATGGCTACAACCCAATCCTCAATCTTCTTAGGCTCATAGTAGGATTTAGGTTCAATAGATGACAACATTGCAAATTAGCTGTATTTTTTGTTATCTTCAACTTCCAACTCAGTTAGCTTTTTCCTATTCCTTGTTTGAACTCCAGCTTGAGATGAACCAATAATGTTTTCAGCTTGAACCTGCTTCTGCAGCACTGGGTAAGTAGTTTCTTTTGAATTCTCAGGTTTAGTCACTGAAGAGCTGACTTCATTTGAACCAATTGTATTATTGCTTTCTTCAGGCAGAATCATTTGAGGATTTTCATCAAATTTTACATGGATTGACTCAACCACTTTCGAGGATCTAAGATTGTAGCATCTATAAGCCTTGTTCTTTGTAGAATACCCCAGAAATATACCTTCATCAGATTTTGAATCAAACTTCCCCAAACTGTCAATGTGATTAAGTATATAACACTTGCTGCCAAATATTCTGAAATAGTGTACTATTGCAAGTCTTCTATACCATAATTCAAAGGGTGTCTTGGTTGAATTTGGACTAAGAAGAACTCTATTGATGATGTACACAGCAGTACTAACAGCTTCAGCCCAAAATCCTTTAGCCAAACCTTTTTCAAGCAACATTATTCTTCCCATTTCTTGAACTCTTCTGTTCTTTCTCTCCACAACTCCATTTTGTTGAGGTGTAGCAATAGCTGAGAATTCCTTTTTGATTCCCTTTCCATCACACCAGTGCTCAAATTCTTTCATAGTGAACTCAGGATCAAAATCAGACCTAAGTTTCTTTACAGTGCAGCTCCTTTCATTTTCAACAAGGTTGACAAACTTAATAAAGTGTGTAATAGCCTCAAACTTTTCTTTCAGAAAGTAAACCCACACCATTCTGCTGAAGTCATCAATGAGTAGCATAAAATACTTACTGCCACCAATACTTGTGGTTCTGGTAGGTCCACAAAGATCCATGTGTATCAGGTCAAGTGCCTTAGAGGAGTTGATTTCCTTGGAATGGAATGAAACTTTAGTTTGTTTTCCTTGTTGACATGCTTTACAAAGATGATCATCCTTAAAACAAATGTCAGGCAGACCTTTAACAGCTTTCAGCTTCAATATCTTGGACACGTTCCTTGAATGAAGATGGCCTAACTTCTTGTGCCACAACTTAGCTTCATCACAGGTTATTAAGTTGCATTGGGTGACCTGACTTTCTTCAGTGACTGTGTAGACATTTCCTGAGGATCTACTTGCTGAGAACAGAACTTGTTTTGATTCCAGATCAATCACATTGCATCTTTCTTTGTTAAAGCAGACTTCCTTCCCACTATCACACAATTGACTTATACTTAGGAGATTATGTTTGAGCCCTTCAACAAATAGAACTTCTTGAATCTCTGGTAACTCTTTAGACTTACTCACAGTGCTAATTCCAATAATCTTAGCTCTTTGATTGTCCCCAAATATAACATTTCCACCATCAAACTGCTGTAAGGAGTTAAAATTTGAACCATCACCTGTCATGTGTCTCGAACAGCCACTGTCAATATACCATTTATCCTGAGTATTACAGGCTTTAAAAGCTATATACACAAGAAGACTTATAGAGTTCAATTCTTGGGGATCCACATCATCTTAGATTTCACCACTGACCCTTTGTCTTTAACTTTCACTCCTTGAGTTAGGTCTGACTTCTTCATATACATCTTAGTGATCTTGAAGTTCCTTGCAGCTGATGTAACAAAGTCTCTCTGATTGAAACTCAAAGGATATTGAATGTTATTAAAAATATCAAACCTTGATCTCAGAGGTTTCACAATGGGATATCTTGCATATACTTCTCCAGCGGTGGCCTTCACAAATGTTGAGTGTTTCTGACTAATCTTAGCAGCTGAATCATATACATATCCAATTCTAGTCTTCCCAATTTGCTTAGTAGATTGTTTCCAAATTTCAACCATTTTCAGTTCCTTGCATCTTTTAGTAGACTACTGAGAGTTACTTTGAATCTTGAGTATGCTTAGGAGAATAAGGGAAATTGAACACATAGTTGACAATTTGAGTTTTAAGTGTTTAGTGAGAATTTGTCTAAACCTTAATAGTTCTGAATTTAGCTTTCTGATCTGAGATTTTTGTTGATTGCACTTCATAGTAAGTCTTTCACATTCTTCCAGAATTTCCTCAATCTCTGTGTCAGTTTCTTCTTCAGTTTCAACAGACTCTTTTGATGGTTCTAGAATGGCCATGAATAAACATTCATCTTCTTTATCTTCTTTAAGTTTCTCTTCTTCTTCAATGGCTGTTTCCTAGTCTAAGAGTAAGGCTTTTCTTCTAAACTTTCCTTTATTGTTAAGTCCTTCAAACTTTCTCTGAGTTTGCCCTTTAGAGTTAGGACACTTGGATACAATATGACCAGGCTTGCCACACCCATAACATGTTAGATTCTGCAACTGAGATTTCCTTTTAAACCTGAATTTTCTGAATTTCTTAGCAAGGTAAGCCATTTCATCCTCTTTAAGATCATCTTTTGACTTAGACTCATCTTCTTCAACATTCTCTTTGGCTTTGAGTGTTGTTTCTCTTCTATGCAAAGTAGGAGGACCAACTCTCATCTCATAAGTTGTGAGAGATGCTTGAAGTTCATCAATCTTCATGTTGGACAAATCTTTGTCTTCTAGGATAGTGACCTTGGCATTGAATCTGGAAGTGAGAGATCTAATAATTTTCTTACACACATCAGAATCTTTAATATCTTCACCAAGAGCTCTCATATTGTTTACAAGATCATTGATTTTGAACATGTATTCTGCAATAGTTTCTCTTTCTTCCATTTTACAAACTTCATATTAAACCTTGAATAGCTGAATTTTGTTTTTCTTTATGACCTTGTTTCCCTCATGAGCTGCCTGAAGTGAATCCCACATTTCTTTGGCTGTCTTACAATTCTTCACTCTGGTAAATTCTTGCTGCTTCAAGGCACAAAAAAGAACATGTTTGGCTTTCCCATCATTAGCTACAACAATCTTGTCTTCAGCAGATAGATTTTCAGGATTGAGAATCACAACACCATGTATGGTAGCATGCCAAACATCATAGGATAGAGACATCAAAAAGGCTTCCATTCTTGTTTTCCAAGAATCATAGTTTGAGCCCTCAAAACTAGGAGCTTTGTTGATAACTTGACCTTCATCTATAGCTAGGACCAACTGCGAGCTTGTTAGAACCTTTCAATGTAGACCTAGGTTCTGATACCAATTGATGGACCAAAAGGGGGGTGAATTAGTTAATCTCTTTCTTAACAAAACCAATGAAGTAATTCAGCAAACAAGCAATAAGTACTTAAAACAGGATTTACAAGGAAACCCTTTTAACTAGGGAAAACCTTGGTTTTTGGCTATGGCCAATGAAGATCACTCCTAGCTGTATGTACCTTGTTACACACTCAGCTGTCTCACCCTCTGCACATACACAAGCATAAGAATGAACACTAGCTTTTACAACCAATACACACACTAGCTGATTTTAGTGCACACACACACTCCTCCTGTCCTAAGCACCCTTGCTTGGACCAACAAAGCTCATATAGCTCACCACATACATAATTACAAATGATAAACAAGATAATAAAAATTCTTCTTCAAGTGGAACAGTTTAAGCAATACAAAATACCAAGTTACTGCCTTAAGATCACTAAACTGCTGCAGCAAGTGATTGAAGGGTAAAATTGGAATTTCTTTCTAGATTAGTTCACCTATAGCTTCCACAGTCTTAATTTACTGCAATACTTATGTTAACATCCTTAAGCAAGTCAGTACATCATGAGTCTATATCAATGTTCAATCTCAGTTCAGAAATAAGCACGGCTTAACTCAGTTTTAGAGGTTTTGCAAGGTTACAACCACAGTTTGTCAAAGTTTTGCCCCACAGCCAATTTCAATAGCTTTAATTCATCCAAATAGACTTGCTAGCACATAGATAGTTCATAGAATAGCTAGCCTTAAACATTTTGCACTTGAATCACAATTTATGCAGAAAAACAAGCTTATCAACTGATCTAAGAGCTCAAAATTCATTTCAGCATGTTTCAGTTCAAAGCAAACTATTGAGCAAGTGTAAATAGCATAGTTATACCTGTGACAACCCTCAGAAATGACCACAGCAACTTGGAACTCAGATTCACTACTCAATCCAGCCCTTTCTTCAACAATTTGAACAGCAGCAGCATCTCAGCACATTGATCACACACAAGGCTTGAGTCAGTGGGTTTTTTTTAGCATAAATCATCATCACAAATCACAGGAGAAATTTGTTCAATGAAAATGAGCTTGAGAGTCTATTCTGCAGCTTGCTTTTAATCTTTATAAAAGGCCATTAACCCTAAAAGACACCTATAGCAGCATATATATATTTCAGTGAAAATGCTAGACTACACCTCTCTTAATTCAATGCTGTCACCTTTTAACCACTGATTACATAAGAATAATTCTGACATTCCCTTAATGAAAAGACAATGTTGCCCTTGATATCTCACTAAATAGTGACACCTCATGTATCAGTAAGAATAGTCTATACAAGTGAGGACACATTGACATTTGCCTTTGCTTAACCCCTAAGATCTGCAACACCATTGGAGGACGCTATATAGCTGGACCACAGCTACGTGTCACACTCCTGAAAATATTTGAAAAGTTATACAAACAAGCCTTATACCAACTATAAATTACATTCAGCAAAATCCTATTGCTGAAGCTGTATTAGACACAATGTAGGCTCACCACAACAGTTCAGTGCAATGCAGCTATCTAGCCATACGAGTGTCTATATAATACATCAGGGAAAATATAAAAATACCCCTGAAAGCTCCTATGACAAGTTCCTTATATGCTGATCCTGACTGAAACCATTCAATTTGGCTGAAACAAGTGTACCAGCTGTGATGAATTAAATCATGCCAATGTAAAAAGACTGTCACTACAATATAAATGTCAATGCTTCCCAAGTGATATATGTTAACCCACAATATAGGTAGAATATGCACTAAAGCTCATAAAACCGAAGTTTTGACATTAAACAGGCAA